GTGTCTTTTTTTGGGGGGGGGTATTACCTAGACCTCCTTCACCCTTTTTAGCCATTGTTTCCTCAGCTATGTTATTTTTGTCTTTGCCCCCTCTTTCCTTTAATTTTACCCATGCCCTCTTTTGATCTTTTTTGGTTTTCCTTGTTTCCCAGATAATGGGTTGGAAACTGGACAAGACACATGAATACCTGCATGTGTAAGGCTGGGTACCTTGTTCCTACTGTAAATTGCATGACACATTCCCAATGCCACCAGGTTTTGGATTGGAGATGAACACATCCTGAGCTTTCCTTATTTCCTGCCATCTGCTGGATGTTTGTTTCTGGTGGATTAGGTGTTGGTTTAGTTGGAGATGCACACATGTGGAGAGGTGGTCTTGTACCCATTTTTGAGGTGAAAGGTAGAGTACCCTTTTTCTACTACTGGCCTGATGTACAATTCCAGATGCTACTAGGTGTTGATTGAGGTCGAACTCCCATTTACTGTCTGTGCTTATCCACTCAACACCTATGGGTCCCATTAATGATGAATACGTTTTGGGGTCCATCTGTGTTTCCATCCTTTCGATTTAGTGACACTTTACTAAAGGGTATGCTTGGCTCAGAAGTGGTGCAGTCTCCCACTGGTGTGATGTTTCTAATTCGTTTTCCACACCACATGGTCTTTCTTTGAGTGCTTTCTAAAGGAGGATCATCTTCTCACCAGCCCTCCACTAGTTCACTGTGGGATTCTAGCTTTTTGTGAGATGAGATAAGATATTGTGTTGGAAGTTAACATTTTCCTAAGCAGAAAATGTATTTCCGGAGAGATACTTACCGTCTCTCACATTTCTCACCCATCCTCCCCACTTCCGATATTTTTGTTGACTTAGTCATGGTCAATCTCAAAGTGATTAACAGGTGCATTATTAAAGAGGGCACTAGTTATAATAGGGGTAAAGTTGCACTCCTATTGGTGGAGGGTTGTTGCATAATCATTTGCATGTAGATATAGAGAAAGAAGTGGGGGGGTTACAAGGCTAGTGGCACGCAAAAAATTTGCACTGATAGAGAGCAATACTAATTGAGAAAGCTTTTTGTGAGTAGAGGTAAGTATCTATTCAGAAATACATTTTCAGTTTAGGAAAATGTTAACTTTTGCATGGTAGAAGTTATCTATAGCTATTACAGTTTTATTTTTCTAACAGGGTGATTGACCCTTGGAATGGGTTGCTTTCAAATGTGATAGATGCAGTTAATTTAAGTGACATTAAGGGAAGACTTGATAAATATTTGAATGATAAGGGCTGACTTTGAGTGTTTTGTTTTAAGCTTTAGCATAATGGATGGGAGAGCCTAAATTGACCAATAGGTCTTTATTGTCCTTTGTTATATGTAAGTATTTGTAGGTAATATCATATTTTTCTTGTTTCTGTTTACCATTCATTTTTTAGAATGATAAATAAGCATTAAGCCATTACTGTGTAGTTGGTCAAGTTACAATGCTACAGTTTTTGTTCCTTGATTTGCATGTTTAATTAAGTTTAATGGTTTTAGCTTTTGCATTGTTATTTTAATGAATCATCCATCATTACAAACATTTATTCTGAGGCTAAAATAACATTTTCTTGCAGATCTTGGAGAGATATGCAAGTGGTCCACATTCATTAATCCAAAAAATTGCTCTGGAAAATGTACACTGTAGTTAACTTGCTATGTCAAAAGTAATCATGAAGTAATATCTTATGTTTGATATAATTTATCTTCATATCTTATTGTCAAGTGTATGTCAGTTATTTCTGACTTATTCAAACACTTACATATCCATACCTCAAATAGCTAATTCAAATACAGTATGTTACCTCAAATCATCTATTTGATCTTCTCCACCTAAACTATCTTGTTTCATCACATTTGTGAGCAAGCTCATAATTCTCAAGATTTTCTCTATCAATGAGCAACTTCCACCTATACTTATAGATGTTGTGGGGTCACCTTTAACATGTAATAACTCTAGAGGTCACTCTTGTTATAAATGGTCATTCACTCAAGATATGTTTAATTATGTTTTGTTCTGTATTCTTTGTCACCACTATGCTTTCAAGGTGCTTTTCATTGGAAAACTGTGGCTTACATTTACTTTACTTTATTTTTTAGAGATTTTGTCTTTTATCATTCTTTGGAAAATTCATCTTCACTCACAGTATATATTATTCTCTTTCTATTTGTTCAACATCTTTAAAACCTGGAGAATCTAGGTGCTTTGATGTTTATCATCTTTTACTTTTATATCCCACACATTTATATGCAATTGGTATTCTTTTCATAATTAACTATGCTATGAATCAACATCATCTCCAGATTTTTCTATCCAATGATTCCTATTTTGCTTCTTTGGTTCTAAAATTTCATTAGGAAGAAAAGCATTTGGTTTCCTTAACTTATCAGGTGTTTCACCTTTCGAGTATCTCTGTTTCTATTCCTATTTTGTCATTTAGCAGCCTTTTCTTCTTGCAAAAACAGGCCTTTTCTACTCAAATGCATTCTGTCACTTTTTGCTACCCAAAGGCTTTCTCTAAGGTTATTTATTGTAAGCTATCTCTCTGTTTAGTTACTAACATTCAGAGGTTGTATATATGTTTTCCTTCTGGGATCACTTGACACAGGACATCTTAACTTTTGCTATCGTAGGTTTCTATTAGAAAAGAGGATTGCAGCTTTGTATCGCTAAGGTGTCATTTTCGATTTTGTTACCTGAATGGAATATTTTTGTTTTGGACCTTTCTTTTGCAGTTTTACATTCATTCCACCACTTCTAATCTTTCATGTTTCTTTTCTTGGCTTTAGAGTTAGTTTAACACGATTCCTAGAGGTTTTCCAAAGAGTATGAGTAACTGGAGACCTATTATACATACTTACATCTTCATCAGTTATTGATTTTTCTGTTTTTTTGACTTGGAATGTTTTTGAGAACTTTCTTTTACTCTTTCTTGATGTTTGTGAATAACAAAACTCCAATTCTTTGGTAGTTATCTTCACAACCTATTCGTTGAACTCATGAAGAAGTGATATTGTGTTCCAAGCTCTGTTTTTTTTTAGTCTGTCCAAGACTCCTTATATGCTCATCATGGTTGTTTTCTCATTTGTTGTCTGGCTTCATCATTTCTATGTACATTCACTTTTACATGGATAACTGACTTATTTAGTGAAGTTTACTCAGTTTCTTTTCAAGGTTGGATATTAAAATATATGTATTCTCATTCAGGTAAGCTCCTCACCTAGTTATGTATGGAGATCTTTAAGGTTTGTTGTATTGCATTTTTATTGTGATATCACATCAGCTTCACCATCTGTTATTGTTTTTGTGGCAGCTTTTAGTTTCTTCCCTTAAAGGAACTTGTCCAAGCTGGTATGTGGATTTTTCTAAGTATTTCCCCATCTATTTCTTTGCACCCTTCTATGCCATGAAGTGATCTCATAGAATTTTGCAAATTTAGAATATGATACATCATGGCGACATGAGCACTTCCTTTAATAACATCTATGTAGGACTTATTTTCTCTTACATGAATGTTACTATTATTGTAGCTGTATATTGACTTGATGTGGAAGCTTCATGCTCAACATTCATATGTGTTATGTTAGTAGACCCACTGTATGTGGGAATGCTTCCTTTCAGCACTTGAGAAACACACTGTCTCTTTATTTCTTTCAGATTCCATCTACTTCAGTGTAATGCTTCTTTTCAATTATGGTATATTTTAATATTAAAATGAAACTCAAATAAGCACTTATTTTCAAATGTGTTTATTCACACCCTTCCATCCCATAACTGAATGTTTCTGAAAAGAGTGATTGCTAGAGCTGTCTCATAATAGAGGAAATCCTATTACATATTTAATTACAGATGGAAGTTGCTGATGTATGGAGAGTCTCTCTTGAAAATTAAACATTTCTTGAATGAGTGATTTAACAAGAGCAGGAGGACCTGTTCAACAATCATTCAATGGATTAACTATGTATTTCTGTAGTGGTAAGTACTTATTGTGGTATGTAGGGAGGATTTATAATTTTCTTTTTTTTTATTAACTTAGATATTAATTCTCTAGGAACTGATATTACCAGATATGAATTAATCTGCATATGTTTTTCATTTAAAAATTTTTAGTGAACCACATTTCAGAATTCCCTAGGTAGCAGCTGAACACTTTCAACAATTGCAAATGGTCAAGCAATTTAGTGTGTGTATATTTTTTGTATGTAACTTTTCTAATATTCTAGTTGACTCTACTCGTGCTACCTAACTAATAACAAGAATATTTAGTTAGTTGCATTTCAAGTATTTTAGTAACTGTATATTATTTTTTCATATACCACTGTGAGTTCCTTATGTTAGTATAAAAAAACTATTAAAAAACTATAAAATCTCTCTGTCAGCTAGTGTTAAAGTCATGACTGTTAGTCATTAACTGGATCTGTGGCAGGAAAAACTTAAATATTAGCAAACAATATAGTGTGTGATGTGGTAAGTAATGAGTTGCAACCAATTTGTTGCTCTGACTATTATACGTATGTATGTAGAGGAACATAATTATGGTAAGTAATGAAATGCAACAAATGTGTTGAATTGATTACTAAAAACTATGTCTTTAGAAGAACATTGCAAATAATGAGATTAATCAAAGTGTATTATGTTCCACACAAGAACTATACTGTTAGGAATCTTTAAACTAACTTTTGAATATTGAGGATTTGTTGTGTTCAAGTAAAAAAAAAGTTAATGAGCATAAATGAAAAAGTATTTCAACACTATCTGATTTGCTTCAAATATATAGTAAGTCAACATATTACATTGTTTATTATTCATAGTTTATGACAATATTGTTTAACCTTCACATTATGAAAAACTTAATTATATATTATATTGCAGTAAAAAAATGTTTCTGTATGCTCTGTGATGCAAAGAAAATAAGTATACAACATATTTAACATTTAAATAACATGCATATAAAATATTTTCAGGAAAAGACAAGAAATTGAAGTCAAAAGAGAAGAAAGAAGTATTCTATCTTTATCTTTTATAAAACCATACACTAATGACAGTGGTGTTTATACTTGCACTGCCATTTATGACAACTCTGAGAAGCTAGAAGCATCAGTACAGGTTACTTTCTATCGTAAGTAAAATTTTGTCATGTTTTGAGATGCAATTACATTCAGTAATTTCATTCCTTCTAATTTAATAGTTATTAAACTATAAAATGTATGAAACAAAAGTAGTTTAATAAAATTACTTACATAAGTAGGAAAAAAATGCTAAACTGAATTTGTTCATAATGTATGTAATCTTCAGAGAGCAATTGAAGAATTCAGGAACATGTCTTTAATGGTAGTAATCCTTAGTCAGAATTTTTTCTTTTAAGTTTGCTTTCTAATACTTTCATTCAACAAAATATAAATCATTAAAATATATTACAAATGTATTGTTATACATTTTGAGATCAGATTTTCTGTATAATTGTGTTACATCAGTTGGACAATTTATAGCAATTCTTAATACAAGTGTTATTGAACTATACATATATGTAATCCCTTTGTAAGCTGTAATACTCAAATTTCTTTCAACAGAAGTATGTCTATACTTTTAGTAATTCTGTATGTTATTCAGAAAAAGTGCTTTGTGTGTGATAAAATATTTGTTTCCGATTAGATTTTTTCACTTTAGCAAACTGCCTGAAATCCACATTTTTATTCTCATATTAAATTCCAGGTTTTGAACTTCTTGTTGATGTACATTTGAATGAAAAATCAAAACTACTGTAAAAAAATATAAAGTCCACTAGTGTACTTTGGAGTTTGAAGGTATCTTCTCTTTTTAATATTTCAGGTTTGTTAGTTTGTCTTAGAGCAAAGCCACATTGGGCTGTCTGCTGTGCCCTCTATAGGGAATCAAACCTCAGATTTTAGTGTTGTAAGTCCATACACTTACTGCTGTCACACAGGGAGACGATATTTCAGGAACTATCCTGGATGATTGAAGCAAATTATTTTGTTTTTTATGTAGAACTAATAAACTCTGTAATGTTTATATTAAATCTTTAAAACTAGAAATAAAATTTGAAAAGTTTCTGATAATGCATCCACTGCTGAGGATGCACATATGAGCTTTTAGCATTCGTTCATGTGTGCTCATGACACGTGTGCATCCCCTTCTACTGTTTGAAATATGCAATGATGATAGCACACTATGTGGCTGTGAACATTAAGTATAGGTGTTGCACTTCATATTTACATGTGTATATGAGTGGAACCAATAGGTAAGATAAGATGTTTTCGTACTATCCTTGTTCGAGAAAAACCATAAATGGTATAAGAATATTTGTATCCATATATTATGAATGACCCTGCTAAATTCCTTTTATTTATATAATCAATATTCTGAGAACAAAATTACACTATATGATTCTCATCTGGCAGTAATACACAAGCTTTTACTACCTCCAGTTGTGAACAAATCACTAAAAGTTAAAGATGTTGCACATTTACCAACAAAATGCAAAATTGGTCCAAGTGCTAAAATGATGAGAAAAAAGTGCAGATCATGCAGTGAAAAGGGAAAATTCTGAGATTAAACTTATAACTGTGAAACATGTCTAGAATCACCCAGGCCTTGTTTGGATCCATGCTTCAATCTGTACCACAAACGAGGTTGATGTATTCATCATATGACATGTACATTATGATAAATACGTGTTTCAATTGATTTTTTGTCTTTTCTTTGAATAAAATTATTTTTCCACAAATTTTATCTAAATGAATTTCTAGACATGTTTGTCTGCAGCACTTGACCTCCATAATCTTTGTGTAATGCTGAGGATGTGCATGTGCATCTTAATTAAAAGGAAAAATAACATTTTTGATTTATTATTATTATTATTACTATTGTTTAAATTGAAAACACAACAACATTGCACTAAAACTCTTATCAGCACCTGCCATAGATAATGCAAGCAGTGCAGAAGTTAACACGATAAAACAGTTGCTGAATTTGTATTTGCTATATAAAATTATTTTAAAATATCTTATAAACTTGCAAGATTATTTAACCAAATTTTGGCTCTTCTAAGCCAGACTCTGAAATGTTATCCATATTTATTTATGTTCTACAAGGTTTTTATTATTATTATTATTATTATAAGTCAAGTTGCTTAGTTCTGTAATTTCTGCTTGAGGTGACAGTAGGTTTCTAGTGAAACCTAGTACCACTATCTTGGTTTCCTTTGGGACATAGTGGTTGGTTACATCTTCATTACTTGTTATACCAGGTTCAGAAATAGAGTTCATTCTTTGTTGCAAGTGGTTAGTATTTCTGAACTTATTAGTATAGCATAAAATTAAGGACAAAAAGGGTCCATTTAGGGTTCACATTCACTAAACTAAACAAAAGCCAATCATTTAAATATTTAACAAGATTTCTCACTTTAAGTACAAAATAAGTTGATAGTACATTAATACTATCAATTTTCTTAACAATTTTAAACAATTCAATCAGATTCTCCATAACTCTTTTTTTTTTAAGAGAAAACAATTTCAGAGATCTTATCCTGCCCTCTTTTGACAACCTTTCCATCCAAGATATCATCCTGAACCATTTCCAACAATCCTATGTCCATTGTAAGGTAGGCACCCCAAGAGTGAATACAATACTCCAAATGATGTTTAACATTTTATTAGTAACTTTCAAACCATGAAAGATTTATTTTGAAACAGATATATGTTACATGAGCTGCAAGTGAAATAAGCAATACTAACTCCCATGAAAAACCAAATCAAATCTGTAATTAGTTTGGACTCATTGTTAGTGTCTGGAAAAAGGTAAGTCAGGAAAATTTACCATGGCAATATTTAATTGACATTCATATCGTTATATTTCTTTAGAAATAATATATTATTGGCTGGCGCCCTAACTGGATTGCTGTTAACTCCAGCCGTGTTGGCTTCAGAAAAACTGAAAAAAAAACTTTTATAGTAATTGATATATAAGGTAGCAAAATCTATATCTATTTTGTTATAGTGTTGTTTACCATTCATTTATTAATCCTTCTATAGTTCAGTTAAGCTATAAATTTTTATTTATATTAATGTGCTAACTTGCCTTCTATCCACAGAATATTGAATTTGAGTATGTATGTATGTTTTATGAAACTGGCACAAGTTTTGCCATAGCAGTGAGATACAGATATTAATATTGTGAAAGATTATGTAGATTTATGGTAATAGCTAATCACATTTAATATCACTTCATGGTCTAACCACTAAATAAAAAGCCTTCCTTGATCTTGAAAGTAGGTTAGTTCATGATATATAGTTAGAATTATTGCTAATTATTGTTAAATATTGTTCTTGATATGGAGAATTGGTTTAATTTCGAAACATTCTGTTATTCTCTGGTGAATAAGGTTTTTATTTTTCTGGATTCTTTTTCCTAATCCCTTTGATATTTATCAAATTTATCACATTGAGATTTATATTGTATTGTTATTAATTTGTATTTCTAATTCTGGCCAAACATGGGTTTACTAATAGTTTTTTTTGTAAGTGGTAAAATTTGTATTCTAGTTGTTTAAAAGTTTGATATTTCTATTGTTATATTTAATATATTGTTTTTTGTTTGACCTTTGTTGTAGTGGCAATTTGTGTTACAAATAGACCAATAAAATAAAAACTCTACCTAATATTTCTATTTGATACTATGTGGCTGTTGTTTTATTAATTTCTGAAAAAATTGGGGAAGGGGTTTGCAGACATCCCTATATCTGTGTCTACTTATATCACATTAAGTAACACAGTTATTTATTTCTGAAAAAAAATAAGTGAAAGGATATGTTGGAGGATTCTTCACCTGCTCTAAATCAGTACCTGCTTATACAACATTAAAGAATACAGTTATAAAATTATAAATTAGAAGTGCAAAAAATGAAACAAAAAAAACAGTAAATTTATGCTAAAGTAGCCAAAGGAATGGTGGTGAGTGTTACTAGCCAGCTGCCTTCCCTTTATAGTGAGCAGTTTAAAATTATTAATAGAGGCAGATAGCTTTAGTAGCTTTGCAATAATAAAGACTGGGTGAGCCAATTTAGTGGCAATTGGATTCAAACCTGAAACCCTCAGATCTCAAATTATCCCCTACCTGCCTATTATTTAGCTTTGTGCTTAACAACAAACAAACATAATGCCAATATTTCAATTATTTGGGTAGTCAGAATAATCAAACAGTAAATAATTGGAAACTCTAATTTTGATTAGTTGATCAGTTGACTAAATCATGATTTATATTAATTGATTGTTGGAATAATTGGAACAACTAATTTTGATTAGTTGATCATTTTCCTGATATTAATAGATCATTTGTAATTTCTATTAATCAATTTATTTATGAGCCATTAATGAATGAAAATACTGGTCATAGGTAATCAATTAAATTGCCCAGACTTATACCTCACGAGTTATTTAAAACTCAAGTAATTTTTGTTTGTATTCATATAATACAGTTGTGAAAAAGTTTTACTACCAAATAATCCATTTAATTGCAAGCTCAATATTGTTTAAAGTGAAGAGTAGCATGAGGATACTAGTTTTGTTTTTGTTTTCTTGTATGTGAAATGTTGGATGATATTAATTTTAAGGTGATTAGATGAAACATTCTCAAAATCCTTAACCTTATGATATACTATTGCACAGTTAAAAGAATTGATTGTATAAAATATTTATATTTATAGATAAGTAACTACAAATATGTAGAAACAATTTTTGTCAGCTCACATACCTCGGAGTGTATATTACCTGGAATTCATTCGATGATCCTAAGCAAAAATATAGGAATAATTAAAATTATTTTTCACATGAGTAAAAATATTTGTTCCTCCCAACAGCTTTTTTCTAACTGTAGAATAATGTGTTAAAATCTCAATTATTCCACAAAAGAAGTCTCCTTCCAAAGTAATAAATAAAAGATTATCATTCTTAGAAATTATAAGTTAAAGAGACAAACAACAAAATGTAGCAGGGGTGTCAGAACTGGGGGTGCTGTAGCATCTCCACTTTTACATATTTGTTTTATATAGCAACTGTAAATTATATTATTATATTATCTGCATGTCTAACCAAACACCCCCACCTTGCAACTCCTTTCTACACCACTGTGTAGAGAACCATTCCTCTATTTTGTATTGCTATATGTTAATAAACTTTAACATACCAGTCAGAAAATCTGGTCAAAAAAGGTAAAGAATGTAATATGAATTTTAATGTAACATTTTCTTTCATACCTCTGAAAAAAGTTGGTCGGATTCTGCATCAGAATCAGTGAATCAAGTAAATTGAATCACTGTGATAGTTCTTGTATCAGAGAAATTAATCAACAGCTTTTGACAAGATTGAGAGGACTTTTAAAGCTCTCCCTCATGTATTAAATATAATTACTCCTTTAATTTTTCAGATATTAAAATAATTGAAAAAGAAAACAGTATCCATTGTAAAAAAATTAAAGAATCTCTCTTTATCAGAAAACAAAAGCTGAACATTAATTAAAGAGGCCAACATTTGTGGGCGAATGTAACATGTTTCTCCCATGCAATCCCAACATGATTATTTTTAACACAAAAAAATAGTGAAAAACACAGAAAAATCAAAAAATGTCTATAGCACTGCCTGGGACCTGCAAGAAGGTATTTTTGTACCAAATCCCATGTAAGTTGGCTTAAATACAGCAAAGTAATTGTTAAAAAAAACCTACAATTATGGTTTTGGTAGCATCTTGTCCCCCCTATAATTACTAAAAATGGGCAAGTCCAACATTTGTGTTTGTCAATGTGTGTTGCCAGTAGAAAAGTATCTTTGTACCAAATTCCATGTAAATTGGTCAAAACAAAGCTAAGTAATTGACCAAAACCCCTAAAATATGGGTTTATTTAACCTTTTTAACCCCTAAGATGACCAAGAATGGGAATATCCCACATTTTTGTATGTATCAGGCAGGCAGTAGCATTGCCTATGTAGGGATGGTTCAGATTGTTCATCAAAATGGCATTTTAAATATCTCCTGAATAGGTCATCAGAACTTTACAATACTCTACAGTGTTACCTTTTATAACAATATCTGTATAATGATTGAGTCACAAGTTCTGGGAATGTCTGTAAATATCATAGCAAAATGTTTGAATTTCTTGTTCTTCTTTCTTCAGTTTCTTTTGTATTACATAATAACCCAAAAACCACAACAATGGAGTCAACCAATTTCACTGAGGTGACATAGATGGAGTATCCACTTTTATAATTATTATTAACTAGTAATAATTTTTAAAAAAATCACAATTCTAGTGTAAACGATAATATCATTACAACTTGAAGTTAGCTTTCTTACAGAAATTTGGTGTTCCATTAAAAAGCTTAACTACAGGGTGAAACAGGAGTTGCCAGCTAATAATAGATAAACAATAAATATTACAGTTGGATCCTCATTGCATTTAGAACTTGGTTATAAATACAAACTTTCTATGTTTATTGAAACACTACATTAAAAAAAGCAAACAAGTAAAGAAAAACTTTTCAAAAAGGGAAGTAAATATAGGGATGACTAATATCACTTCTTCAAAAACAATGAAAACAAGATAGTAGGGATGGCATTTGCATCATCCCTACATAGTAGCACAGGCAAGAATTAACATATAGCAATATATATATATGTGATTAAACAGTTATAATTGAGCTTAATTTATCCTATTTTTGTCTGTTAACATTCTACCAGACTGTGTGTCTGTGCTGTTATGTGGGGATGATGCAAATGCCATCCCTAAAAAACAATCTTTGTACCAAATCTTGTGTAAATTGGCAGAAATAGGGCTGAGTAATTGTCAAAAAATGCTAAAATTATGCTTATGTGGGATTTTGATCCCCCTATAATTACTAAAAATGGGCGAGTCCACCATTTTTGTTTGTGTAGGATCTATAAAAATGTATCTTTGTATCAAATCACATGTAAATTGGTCAAAATATGGCCAAGTAATTGAACAAAAAAACCCAATTGTTTTTGTGAACTCTGACTGTCCTAAAAAGAATAAAAAAAGGCAAATTTAGCCTTTTTTGTATGCTGGTATGTTGGGTGCATGAAAATTTATATTTGTGCCAATTTTCATCTTGATTGCTGTAAAAATGACTGCACAGAAGCCTAAAATATACATTTTGGGTTGTTTTACCTTTCACCCCATAGAATCCATAAAAAGGCATAAATAAAAAAATGAAAAAGATGTCTGGGCATATTGGATCAAGGTATAACCATACCAACTTTCAAGTCGCTTCACCGAGAAATGAAGGAATGGTATTGCTTTGTTGTTTAATGATGTAATATTATTACTTATTTTGTAGCTCATGACAAACTGAGCTGCTGTAAGCTTTGTTTTAAAAATTGTCACTTGATGATACCATGTAAACCCAGTGAAATGTTGTGTTTTTAAGAAGATTATTTATTTAACCATAGATAAAAATATTTTTAGATTAACATGTTACTCCTATAACTTATTTAAGAATTGATTACATTGTGATCAACAAGTATATGAAAACCAAACTGAATTTAATTAAACCATCATACTTTTCTTACAGTATTCAATGTTTGGTTCAAGACCATTGTTTTCTAGTAACCTTTTTATTAAAACTACAGATGAATTGACTAAAATATGTAATATACGTCTTTAAAATGTAATACAAAAGCATGGAATCTCTATTTTACAGATGATATAACTTGGGATGATTGCCCACAAACCCAGGCTTTAATTTTGGGCCAAGTAGGGAATATCAAATGTAAAGTAACTGGTAACCCTACACCTAAAGTTGAGTGGTATAAAAATGGCATACCTCTAGCAGAAGATCGTTACAAGTCTTACAGTGAAGGAATTAAAATTGCCAGAGTTGAGGAAGTAGACAAAGGCCTGTATAAAATTAGAGCCACTGTTAAACAGACTGGAGCACTAAGTCAGAGAAACATAACTGTTGACATTCATGGTATGTTCTAAGTTTCACTCAAACAATCTGTTACTTGCACTAAGGCCTGCACATTTATACCAGTTGTGAGACATCACTTATTAATTTTAATCAGTGATTTTATGTTAGCTTATGATTATTCTGAGACTCATGAATATGTACAATACTTTAATGCAAATAATCTCTTTTAAATTCTAGCATTTAAAAATTCTTTCTACTAAATTGTGCATTGACAAATTAAAGTTTCATAAGTAATCCTCAAAAAATTATTTTCATATTGAATTTTATACATATTCATAAAACTTATTCAATTTACATTTTTTCTTTACAGTCAAATCTTTATTTTTTAATTCAATTATTGGGCTTTGAAATTACATTTTTTAATATATATTATTCTTACTGAATAATTATATTGAAACTATTGTATTTCTCTTATTAATTTTGTCTTTTTACTGTAAAAACTAACTTTGTAAGAGGAAATTCATTAATTTTATAAATCTGTTATATGTTTTACAAAGATTTGTATCATGCAATAATTGTTGTAAAACTATATCTGCCTATGTATGGTGACATACAGTTTTTATCTGAAAAAAAAATGTGTAGTACCACCAATGATAAGAGATCTACCTGACACAACAGAAGCTGTAGAGGGAGAGTCTGTGATTTTACATTGTTCAGCTGATGGCTACCCTTCTCCTGAATATTCCTGGTTGAACAAGGTATGTTTCTATTAAGGAGCTGATATCACAATATATGGTATGAAGATATTTGAAGAGCCAGAGTGTTTACTTGTTTACTTTTGATCTGATTTATATTGTAAGTAATTAAACTTTCCTTACCTCATGTTCTCTTACTAGTTCAATGTATCTAGTTTCCAGAGTTAGAGATTTTAGTCGTTATAGGTTTCATCAAGAATGTTATTAATTGGTGAATCAAGAAACCAAACCAGATGAAGTATATTTTTATGCAGGTATTCTGAATTTCACTGATAATCTTCTTAACATAATATGAATTGACATAAACTTTTATTAATTTTTGTCTCTGGCTAGGTTTACATACTGGAGTTATAATTTCATAGAGCTTATATTTGCTTGGCCATAGTTCTATGTTATTGCTCCCTTTGAGTGTGGGTCATACCCAGTGTTGGGTGTGTTACTAGAAAAAAATAATGACATTACTTTGGCTGTTACCTGCTAAAAATAGTAATGTTGTTACCCAAAACATTACTTCTTTAAAAATGGAATGGGTGATTACTCATTACTCGTTATTTTTCAAATAGATACCTGTAGTTTGTATATAAAACATGCACTGTGCAAATCATATATTATGTAATATATATATAGAACTGAACTACAAGCACTAAACTCAAGACAAAAAATGCATTATACATTGAGAGGTTTTAGAATAGCAATTAAAGGAGATACTTATATTTTTCCTTTATAATATTCAAAGTAAGAGCAATGTATGACTTACAAAATACAATAAAAAGGAATACAAATGACTAATATAACTAATAAGTAGCCTATCAATTAGTTTGAAATAATCTAACAGTTTACTTCATGTAATAACTGCAGTATTAAAATGATTATTTTGGGAGGCACTGTTATATTTAAAAAAAAACAGCTCTTTTGAAGCCTGCATCAAACATTCCTCCTCTTTTTGCCCTTAGAATGTCTTTTCCAACTGAAAATCCCTTTCAGCTATGGCCCATGATGAAATAGCTGTATTTAACGAAATGAAAATTTACTTTAAAACTGTGTCTGGAAATGCACCATTGTGAACAAACTTTACATGAGATTTATTTAGAAAAGTATCAACTATTTGAGCACTTTTGTGTCCAGTACTTTTTGCCCCTTTGTTTGCAGGCATCTGAAATAATCATCTTCTGTTTCTGTCATGCTATCTTGATTGGGTGGTTCTGTACTGTATTGTGCTATGTGGGTTTTCTATTTTTGTGATCATTTTCTGTCAAACTTGTTCCTTCTCATTTTCTGGAAGACAGAAAAGCTTCAAACAAGGGTAAAAACACACCAAAAGAATTTAATTGTCATCATTGAATACATTGTCAAACCTAGTTTCTTTGCTTTGAATTAATACTTCAACTAAGGATTTACAAATTTAAACCATTTGTTGTTCAAATTCCCCAATTAGACTAGACAAACATACAAGGTAGGAAATAGTAGTCCCATAAATGCTTTGTTCTCACACTGCAATATGACAAGTGCTCTAACAATAGGTTTTATGACTTGAATGTATTCTGAAATAAAAAAAATTTCAACTGGATTCAGCTGCACAATGCCCAGTTGATCAAAAACTTGTTCTAGTACTTGGTCACTTAACTCACTTCCAGATATTAATTTATCTATGTGAATAGAACATTGAATTTCAACAAGTTGAATAAGGAACAACCAAGCATTTCCCTGTGTCAGCAGCTACAGTGCTTCTGCTCTGTTTATCCCATAGGGTTTGAGCCTATGCTATTGCTGATTGAGACACTTTTTGTTTTCTAGTCATTATTAAAATTTTATCTACATCAGTAGTAGCAACAAGATTCAATGTATGGGAAACACACCTTTGATGGACTGGCAAAATGTATATACACAAACGAGACGATGCCCCATCATCAACAGCTAATATATCAACCAGAGAATATATTTCTACAACATCTTCATCTGATTCGTCATCATTTCCACTACCAGTAAGATCAACATGCAGGAGAGATGGTAGATGCATCGTTGGAGAACTGTATGTAAAAGAAGTTACCCTATATTATTTAAACTTACAACATAAATGCAAAAAGTAATTTTGACAATTTAATAACATGGCCAATAATCTGACCACGAAGGTCAATGTTACAATCTGATGTCCAACTAAGTGAACCAGAATATAAAACCCAAATATAATATAATATTACTCCTATATGGATGCATTTATTGTGTGTATGTGTATATATATATAATTAACCTTTCCATGATGACAAATGGTCCATTTAATATTTTTTTCTGGCTAGCACCAGACAATTGTATTAAGATTAAGGGATAATTATATGAATGTGGGCTGTAATTTATATCTCTTATAAAGGTAATATATATCTTCTTCCATTATTTCATTCCTTCCTTCATTTATTAGGTCATCAAGAAATTAATGTTGCTTTTTGGAACACTTGCATTAACCATCCCCTAAAAAACTTGCATGACGTATAATAGTTAAATGAACCCCTAAACGTGACTTTAGTGTGGCCTATATAATATGTAAAGATTAATATACTCTAATCCCTTACAATGATGGCACACGATGAGACACATATTTGGTATGTAATGCTCTTTCAATACAAGAAGGGAAACAATTGAAAAATTAACTATAGTAAATATGATGAGAATCTAATAAAATGTCAGTGTTCCTATATCAAGTGTGAAAACAAACCTCCAACATTGTATAGTTTAAAAATATCAGACTATTAGAAACTAAAAAATTAGAGATTATTTATTATTTAATTGTCTGTTTCTGAAACTCCAGCAATCAGCAGTTGTAGTGACAGTCTTGACTACTGCTAGTAGGGACTTGAGAAGGCTAATTTTTTCCTCATAGGAGTCATTCATTTGCCTCATTACTGTTCTTCAAGACATTATTGTTCTTGTTGGCTGTAGTGATGTGATTATGTTTCTAAAGGAGGAGGACTCAACAACTCTAATTGACAAAACTCTGAAACCACGAATTCCAATATTAGCCCATTTAGTTTTTGTTGAGACACTTGGGAGCTCCTTCCAAAGATTAGAAGCTGTTGTTTTTATCCCTTGATGATCAACAGTAAGCTTTTTAGGCATGTTGTCATTACCTTCATTTGCTTTCACTGTTTGTTTGTTTTGTGCTGCACCTTGTTTCACCGTAGACTCAGATTTTTTATCAATGGAGAAATGTTTTATGGACACAGGTTTTTAAGCTGCTTGCAGATTTACTGTTTGCACTGAATGTTTTCTTCAAAGGCAAGCAGAGTAAGCATTCATATGATAAGTTGTCACCACTACTTCTTCCAATAAACATAAAGTATTTGTTGAGATATGGTCATGGATTATGTGGAGTTTCACTCGAACTGCTACCACTTTTGTATCACATTGTGCTACATGTAATCTCCTTGATTAGCGTGATGGCCCTCACTACAAGTCTACAAATTCACAACTCAACTAAAACATGTTTCAGCAGGAATACATGTGCAATATTTCATTCCTCTGCTGTTGTTGCAATATTAATGCTATTTAAAAAATATATTTATTATATTTATGGTTATTTTTTATTAGTTTATAATTTTTGTTATTGTTTTTACCAGATAGTTTTAACTACCAATAGTTATTAGTTATTTTATTGTTTTAAGTATGTTAGACTATAATATTACTGAATTTAAAAAGTAACTAGGAATGAATAATGTACTGTTTTGACTAAAAATTCAACGATGTTACTAAAAATGTTACTAAATTTGAAAAGTAGTATCACTACCTTGGACATTATTAAAAATGTAATGTCGCTAGTAACGATGACGTAACTACCCAACAGTGGTCATACCCAAGTCAAAAACTGGTAAATAGGTTTGTACAAATTAGTATGAGCTGGAAGTTAGTCTTTCCTTCAACATGTATCATATAAATTGTTGCTGATACTAGTAATCTATGACTGTGGGATATTACACCAAGGATTTTGTTTTATTTAATAGTGTGACAGAGTCCTCTTGTCTTTTATAACCAAGGATTTGCATTTACTGACTTCAGGTTGAATGTGCTCTTTTTTTGTTGTTAACTCTGGTTACTGTAAAGTTTGTAAATCATGATTATGGAAAGGTGGTTTCTAAGATTGCATGGAAATTTCAGTGGAAAGGAGAAAGCTGTGTTTGAGGGGGGGGGGGGCATGATCTGAGTTGGGCAAGAACTAGAAAAAATCTCCTCTGCACCAAGGACATTCACCAACATTCTTGTTCTGTCATTGGGACTGAGAGGTTGATTGGCAGCTGGGAAAATTGTAGCTGCTGTTTCTCAACCTCTACTGGTTACTTCCTACATGGAGTAGCATTAGATACTAAAGACAATTTATGGTGGTGGCAATTAGTCTGGATATCTCAAAACCAACTGGAGTGGTTCCTATGAGCTCCTAGAAATTTGGTGATTGACCCAGGCATTGCCAATCACTGGTCATAATCACATGTAACAGAGAAGAGAGGTAAGATGTGCATGGTGGACAGAGTTTATCAGGAAGAGCTTTTACACCATCAAATTCAGCAAGCTCCATCTTGTCATCATTCTTTGGATACTTGGAGTAGTCAGGAACTTTCCAGACTAGCAAGACATATTGACAACATTCCAAAACTACTTCCAGTGAATGCAGTATACAAAGAAGATGCATATACCAACGTGCTATACTATTCTGCTGATGATATTATTCCAGATAAATGCATATCTATGTCTTCAGAAATTTGTAGAATGAGAAGGGCCTCCATTGGACACTGATGGTGTCTCATCCATAACGCAATATGAACGCTGTGAACAGGCACTTGTCTATATCAAGTTTCCCAATACTGATGCTGTGAATCACTGAAGTTTAAAGAGATGATGAAAGAAGATCTGGATTATTGCCTAAAATATGTCAGGTTTTAGCTTAGAAGTGTTCCATGTTTGGCACCTTTGCATCATTTACCTGTTCTACCTATGGGTTTATCCATTTGTCATGTATGCTT